ATCGTTATTGGGTATCATGAGCATCATCAATGTGATGCGTGATCCGTGATCGTGACCTTGACCTTCCGCCCCGATCGGCACTCGTGATCGTGATCACACACATGCACACACACACACACACACACACAAATGCACACCCACAGCCCACCCCGTTTCTAACATGCACATTCAACGTGGATTTGCTCCAACTCGCCCACATCCCAACCGATTCGATTAGAGCCTAATCTGTCCGTTCTCTCAAACATATCTCAGTAAGCAGATGATTCAAATCAAATCAGCTCAACTCAACTCAGACGAAGTCAATTCAGGATCGTGATGGAAGTGTTTGTGATAACCGATAAAGAGCACTGGACAGCTGTTTCGTCTTGTTTGGGACTCGTCATCAGTGCGTAATTTTTGTGTTCCTGTCAGGACTCAAACCACGGACATACGAGTTGGGACTTCAAACTTTTATCCCCGAGCTACACGGTCGACGGTCATCGCCTTGTGCGAATTGTCAATCAATTTAGAGTAAAAAGCATGGATTAGCCCTCCCGAGTGTTCAGAGGCACCAGACACTCTTGGTGTGGGTTTCACTTCCTGGCAGATCGTAATTCCCCACAATTTCATGCATTTACATGTGATGCAAATGTTCGTGATAACCCACAACGTGCCTCTTAGCAATCGAATAGGCTAATCCAAGCTCGCTACTGTAAAACTGATTGACCCATTCGCACAAGGTGATGACCATCGACCGTGTAGTTCAGGGGTGAGGGTTTTAAGTCCCAACTAGTATGACCGTGGTTCGAGTCCTGACATGAACACAAAAGGTGCGCACTGATGACGAGTCCCAAACAAGACGGAACAGCTATCCAATGCTCTTTGTCGCTTATCATAAACATTTCCACCACATGTAAATGCATCAAATTGTGGGTAATTAACGATCTCTCAGGGAGTGAAACTCACACACAAGAGTGCCTGGTGCCTCTCAATAATCGAATGGGTCCATTCAGGATCGCTTAAAACGACCGCGAAATGAAGTGAGTGTTTAGAAGGTAAACGGGAATAGAATGAGAAGTTCACAGTTTGCGACTACCGAGTAAATCATTGGTTACATAGGTACAAATTCATTGATCAGATGTGTGACGGTGATTTCCAGTACAAACTACCATGTCGTGATTGAATTTCAAGTTTGAAAGAACCATCCGATTATGGAACAAGCATTTTGTCCAAGCGATCTTTGTCTGGAACGCTTTCCCTTGGTTTTATTGCAGAAGTTACTCAGAATTTGGTAGGTACAATGAAGGGTATGTGAAAGAAGCGGTGTTCTCGTCCAGGTTTTGGAAATCGGTCCAGTTGCTGCACACGGCACACATTCCAATTACTCTCTGTGTACGTTTCACATCACTGCATATTGTCCGGACAACCCTGTCCGAGCGTATGCAGAAGGATTGCGGAGATTCTAAGCATTTACTCCTCCATTGAATGAGCTGTCTCGTCATTTTTCATGGATTTATCACCTCATTCTATTTCCCTCAAGTTCCACACATGACCGCATTTTGTATGGAACATTTCCCAAAGAACATTTGAATTACTTCACAATGAGAGTGCATCGCAAGCAATCAACAAATGACACCTCCCGATTATCCCCATCAATTTGGTTAGTGAATGGATGCGGAAAAATTCATCATCATCATTTCACCTAACGATAGATAGATGATAGACAAATGTGAACAATTATCGAAAGTTTTGATGTAGATCCATCGATCCTGTAATAGGGATCACGTGAAGGACCTCTTTGTTGAATATCCTGTACCCATTTGTATGACGAGTTAGGCGAGATAGCGCAGTGATGAATTCTTCTGAATGCTAATACGAGAGGGCGGATGTCGACAAGAGTAGCGTGTGGACGGACCGGAACGACGAGTTGATAAATCGAGGTAGAAGCAATGAATGATGAGACTCTTCTGAACTCACATTCTTTCATTTACTCTCTGTTCCAACATCTCTTGGTCGAACAGATCAGTTAGTCAACTATCCGTTCGAGAAGTGAGAGACTGCAGTATTAGTCTTAGTAAGTAGGCCTTACTACCTCTGAATTTCCAATGAAAGAACAAAGGTTTCCAACATTGAGCGAAAGATGTGTACGGTTCTTGAATTTCGCATGGCTGAGTAGAATTTCCAGTTAGAAGCTGTTCAAAACACCTCACGATTCATATGTTGAGGTTGTGTCGTGTAGAGAGTGCATTCTAATTTCCTCGGATTTTATGCAATCCGTCTTAACATATGCTCAGAAATCCACGTGAAAGCCTTCCCGATGGGGACATCATCACATGATTGGTATTCGGGCGCGATGTCAATGTGAACTGCATCACAGTGGCAAACTGAAAGCAAAGTGGATGGTACCGTTAGTTGTACTAGTGTCATCGACTGGCGTTTGTCAGGTTTGTCAGATTACGTCATTCTCCCCTTATCACGATTTGCTGCACCTGACCAATAATCTATCTCACCATCCCAACAACTACGTTATTTGAAGTTCCTTGTCTTGAATTATTCCATGAACGTGATCAATATGTGAAATGCTGCACATATTGTGTGGCGTGTGTTGTCTGTAATGTGTAGGGAATTAGCTCCAATTTTCACCCTCGTTTGTGTAATTTGGTTTTACGACAAACGGGTAATTCCGGAAGGTCAAAATCTTGCATGCATGCATGCGGACATTTGCTGAACGCGCAGGTATATGGTTGGTTGGTTGGTTGCACATACACTTGACAGACGAGTCCGAATATTGCTGGCGTAATGAAATGGCTCCACAACCACTTGATTGCGGAGGTATGACAAATCGTTCAGAATAACATTTATCTCTTAGGATAGAGCTCATACCGATCTAGGTGATCGGATCGTATCCTGTGGTTTTTCTGCACCATCGACTTTTCTCTCGGTACAATTTGGAGCAATCGATGGACCGAAGCGTGTACACAACAAGCAACCAATACGGCTATAGTTGTTGTACATGAATTGCACACGTACGAGGGTAAAATCTACATAGAATGAGAGCGGATAACTTTTAGCGAACATTAAACGTATCCTGTGACTTACTTGCGTTGGACCGAAGCAGACGGATTGTAATTCAAGGCCTCGTTCAATCTGCATGATGTCTAGCTGTATTCATTGTCACATATGTTCGCGTGACGGTGTCTGTTAGTCGCTGGTTCAAATTCTCCGCAGAATTCATCTCCTCAGACTAGCCATTGAACTGTTACTTGAATCCTTCTGTTCAACATCATCTGTGTTTTGTTCACGCCGAATTCCGAAATTCAATGCGAAGAAACACTGTATGTCTTTGTGAACCTTCAACAGAATGTATTGAAAAACAATTTATCCTAGATGTAGAGAAACCTAACGAGCCATGAACCCTTTATTTAAGGTTCACATGCTGTGATACCTACTGTTTCTGTCACTTTACATTTAGTCCGTGAAATTAACCGTGAAATCATTCACCGGTGATGATCTACGTTGAAGGCCAAGTACGGAATGTTAGGTGTGAAAATATTTGATTTTATAATTCGAACTCCGTTCGCATATTTCTATTACTTCGACGAGTACATCAAACACCGAGAAAACGATAAAAGTTCCAGACAATTTGTCACATACACAGATTAATCCTGGAGCTTGCAGTAATAAACAAATTGCACACCAGCTTGAGTTTTACTCAAACCATCGACAATTCGGCCATGAATGCTTGCCAGCCAGCCAGCCAACCAACCACCACTCACGGAGCAGACGATTTCAGTTGGATCATGCGTGCTGGGTAGAAGACGTTATGTGATCGAAGACGGAAGCGGAAGGCCAGTTCCAAGGTCGCATGCACCTGTGCATGTCAGCGAGATCTCATCAGACTCTAGTTGTTAATCATCTGATACGAATAAGCAATGTGTTTCGAATTCACCGTAAACTGGCGTATTCATTCTACATGAACGTTAAACATTGCCTCATAATAATGGTTCCACTTCGATTTCGGAAGCAATGAACTTCTCCAAACTACTACCATTCATCGTGACTGGTAAGACCTCATTCTACCACTTACGTGGCAGTAGCAAGCATCCCCATGATCATCGTTAAAAGGTGATCAGATTACTCAACATCTGTTCACAGAATGCTCACGTGACCGCTCCTTCCGATGACTCAGTCACCACTGGATCAACTCAAGCTCATTATGAAATCAAGTGAGAAAACATTTCATGAGTGGTATGGGGAGCTTTATTTATGCAAGTAGAAATCTCTGAACAGGTATATGTAATTGCACATGAGCATGACCATGAGGTTGCCTCTCCTCGCAGCGTGACGTCATCACCGTGATCCCATTGTTCCTTCCTTTTACACTTCCTCTACTCCCAGGATGCAGCTGCGGCGTGTGACGGCGTTCCCGTTACCGTCAGGTACTCATCTTCCTCATATCTCTTCTGCCACTTTTTATGCTTCCACGAAGCAGTATGAGGTATTTTCAATTGCTTTGTATCTGCAATGAACATGGTGAACGAGACTAGCACCATTTAATTAGTCAGTCACAAAATAACTAGAAACAAGTCAACTGACCACGAGAAATCAACAATCCGTGGAGTAACTCAACTGCATTCTCCGGATCCAAGATGTCTTGAGTTAGTACACAGACAAAGACCAGAACCCAAATGACGACTGACGGTTTCAGCATATATATTCAACTTGGAACGGAGCAGAAACGATAGAGGTTCAAATATGCTAAATTCGGGTGCACACCAAGTGGACGAAACGGGACTAAATAAGAACGCGGTGCACTCCCTTGGTCTTGATGTCTTCCATTGTGAAATCCCCTTTCGTGAGCAGCCTTTCCCTATGTGCAAACCCAAACCCGAATTCAAAGTGAGTTCAATCTGCCATTGGTTAAGCGTATTCGGACTCCGTAACCACGCCAATCACAATGCTGAAATGATGATATATTCGTAGGGACAGATCGCGACGAGGAGGCAGGGTGGCGTGTTTTTTTGTCGGACCGGGTAACCTTTGCAGAACAGTGAGAAAATGGACAACGACAAAATGGTGTTCATAGGGGAAGAATAAACAGAGTATACTAAAACTGAGTTAGAGGATTGCAAGGAACGGATTTCATTCTTTGTCATTCGTGTGGAATCAATGTCTACTTGTTTGTCACGCACGTGTGTTCTCTCGAACGAGACTGCATCGTGTGCATCTCCGCACAAGAACGATCATATGTGTGAATAGTTAGTTCATTCTCCTATCTGTGTAATGGTACTTCCGTCAAAGCCTCTGTAAAGCTCCTTATGTTTCGGGGTGGGTGTCTGATGTTGTGGCTGGTCACCTTACCCTTGCACCTCGCGAAATGCTCCTATAAGACCAAGTGTGCCATATGAGTTCTGCGGAGTAGACCCTACACACTGTCTTCACGCGGCGAACGTTTTCCCGAGCTCCTCATGGCATATGTCACCAATGTTCGTGCGAAAATATTCCAATTCGTGCACGAGATGAGTGAACAAAATCCGTCGACGCATGAGATTTGTCGGACGTAGTCAATGTGGAATTGATCGAATCAATCACTAAATTGTAATACCAAAGCTCTAAAATTGTGGTGTGGTCCTTGTCTGGATCCAGGAGCGACTTAGATAAAGAACTATGCCAGTGTTTGTCATTCAATATCCGCACCAATCATCGTTGTCCGACGGTTCCAAAAAGGAGCTTTTACCACTGCACTGACCAGCGAAAGAACAAAATTCCTTGTACCAAATACACAACATCATTTGTGACCCATGTTTAAATCCAGAGAACAGATTTACCTCCAGAAGAGTATTTGACAATCGAGCAATCGATCAACGCAGCTCACTCTTGCTAAGCCACCAACGACATTGAATTCAGGGTTTCCAATTGCGAGGCTTTTTCCACACCGAACCAGATTCATTTCTCCTATGGTCTGGGCAACCAAATGCAACAACCGCATGTCACTGATGACATCATTTTGGGGCGTGATGGTACAGGAGGAAATGTGATTTTCCTTGCACTGTGCCAAAGCATCATTTATTGTTCTAAAGTAATTTGGACTACTGAAACCTGTTTTCGGCCAGTTCCATAGAGCACTGTTTCCACACCTGCTATCAGCGTCCTTGGGACCAGACATGAAATACACCGCCCAGTAGGGAGTCCACGAGTGAACCGTGAATAGAACGCACTAGAAATTAGGCAACGATTAGAATCCAAAACGTAAAGATTCTATACAATTCTAGAGACAAGCATTGAAGATACCTACGAAAACAGTTACCACTCATTTGCAGTTCATCCAGTTTCAGCTCTGCTGCTACTGTTACGTTACCTTGTCCGAAACCATCTATCAAATGTCCTCCATATGACATGATGAGCGTTAATTTCGGAAAATTGTGCACACAATAAAACGGTGAAATTAGAATATGCATTTCACCTCACACATAGAATCACGGTGCACGTTAATATGACTCCTCTTAGGACACATGAATACTCGTACAGATTCCTCAAGTTACATTTACCGTATCCTTTACCCATTATGTGATCAGCCTAGTCCTCACATAGGAATGTATATGCAACATTGATGAAATTGTGTCATTCAATGCATCGATCATCGACTTTCATGCCTCAACACGGGACTCTGTTCCAATCGGTTGAACTACTCACTCGATCTTTGATTGAAATGACTAAATTCGTCAAGTGTGTGTGTGTGTAAGTGTGTGTGACACAAATAGGGTGTGCTCATGGTGAATGCTGATTGAAGGGCAGTATTACCGATCTATGGAATAAATCTCTTTGGAAGCTAACATTCGATTTTGGTTATCGCTCGGTGTTTGCCAGTCGACCAGACAAACACAGATGGGAAAGCACACAAATATACCTGTAATCCGGTTACAAATATGCGTGGTGCTCGCTCCCATCGATGCGTACTGAAGGAATGCTATCTGACTACATCTGTCCGATCCTGTACGTTGATTGATGGTTGCTCGTCGATGCACTTACTCATTCATTCGGTTATTCTGTGAACGAAGAGCTCGGTGTACAACAAAGTGATCCAGATTGTGACCAAACCGAATCCAGATAAATCAGTGCCTACGCTTTCTATACACGGGGTTGTGTCACTGTTTCACATTCTTCTACACAGCTAGTATTTCACCACAAGCTCCGAAATGTTCCGGACGGCTGCCGCTACGCTACGCGAGAATTGCACAAACCTCAGAACAAACGTTTTGGGCCCTAATAACGAAACGTTTCGGACCAATAGCATCTTTGACACTGGTTTGTTACTTATTAAAGCCGAGCGTTCTGCTACCGACTCCGATGCTGCTTATTAGCTTGCATAAGAACATAACCGCCGTAGATCGGATGGCGTTTTATTCTCTACTTCACTTCATCAGTAAGTCAGTAAAAGAGAAAGTCAAATGTGTGCACCGTGCAGTTCGTCCCCTTTGACTCGGTGCCTCGTTCCGTTTGCTTAATATCTCCAAACCTATGCTTGTCCCACTTCTCTTCTTCAACACATTGCTCATTGCATTTCGCCCAGGTATCCGTGCGTTGAATTGGGAAGAGGAAGTTGATAGTTCGCATGAATTTCATAGTACTGTGCTATCACCCTGTGGTGATTGCTCATGAACTATGAACTCTTTTGTTTTATTGAACACGATATCCTTGTATATTTCTAATTTCCGCCTATTAAAATTCCATTCCACCTCTGAGTTGACTTCTGATTTCGTTTCCTGTACGTGACTTTATTCTTCAGCTTCAGACTCAAGCATCTCGTTGAAAACTTCGGAGATCAATTGCAAACCCAGTTACGTGATCGATTAATTGCCGGTATTAATTGCCCGGAATTACAGCAAAAGCTCCTGTTCATGCACGATTGCACATTTCAGTTGGCTACGGCAGTCTGTGAACAGTACCAAGACGTCCGTGCCATTATTTGTGATGAATCCAACTTGTTGTTCAATGCCAGCGATTCCAAACAGTCACCATCCGGACGAAGGCGGCTTTTCGAAAAGGGCTCGAAAACACCAAGCAACATCAGTTCTCCGGCCCGCAATGACCAATGGATTCAAAGATGGAACAAGTGCAATTCCTGTGGTCAAAGACATTCGCGGCTATCCTGTGGATTTCGAAATGCCAAGTGTCACAATTGCCCTAAGCTTGACCATATCCAATCTGTCTGTAAAAGTGCGAAGTCGTGTCTTACCAAACGTACGACTGTCCATTCCTCTAAAGATTTATTGTGTGATTTACAGTCCTTAACTCTAGCCAATACCAGTTCACGTCCCTCTCGCCATATTACTCGCGACTT